TCTGGACCAGTAGAATTCCTGTTCCCATGTCTTCCAGTAAACCCACTGTCATCATAACATCCTGGAACCTCAATCCCACCTATAATCAGTGATGGGAGTAACGGCGTAGTAACGAGTAATCTAACTAATTACTTTGACTTTAACTATAACGCAGTTACCATTGCAGACACCCCGTTACTGCGCGTTACTCAGGTCGCACAATGAACCTTTTTTCATGATAGGACTCGTGCGCGCCTTGTCATGAGAGAGGGGAGGATGAGAATGGCTGATGTATAGTGAGATTAAGCTGAACAGGGTTTAAGCTGAACGTGGCGGTTTAGAACGCACACATTAGCCCTGGACTCCCCATGAAACCAAGAGACGGTTGTCGGTACGATGCCCTGCTGTGTGCTTCAATCTGATCTGTGTCTGTGTCCAGGTGCGCTGGATGATGTACTGGATCGTATTTGCTTTGTACACCGTCGCAGAGACCATCACTGACCTGACCGTAGCTTGGTGAGTACACGCACACACATACTCGTCCTGCTTTTATAGTGAGGACCATGTGTTGACTTCCATTGATTTTCAGTCATTTTCATCCCTTGCTATGCCCTAAACCTTACCATTACCAATGCATACCTCACCTTAACCCTGACCCATTGACACCTTAGCCCTAAACCTAACCATTAGCAAAATTAGCATGTTAGCATCGGCAAAAAACAACTGGTCCTCAATCTGATGGTGAAATTGGAAAAAATGGTCCTCATTCTGAGGGCTAGACAGGTACACACACATGCTTACATTTTGCTACATGTAGGGTCCTGGAATCTGAGGAAATGGCAGTGTTTATGGTCCTGTCTCTGATTCCTGGCTGGGTACACTAACCCACCAACCAACGCTCCCTTCTGGTGAGCAAACCCTGGATGTTAGCCTGTTGCTAACGGTGCTTCAGGTTTAAGCGGTTTACTCCTGCAGGGACATGATGTGCAGAGTGATGAGACTCTGTGACGGTGACGGACGGCCCGCTATAGTTCCAAACCTTTTAGACCAGGTCGGTTTTTAAAAACTGACCCTTCATAAAAAGAACATGGTCATAAATCTGCAGACCAGAGATTGACCAATAAATCACCCGGCTGATATTTTGGGCTCATATTAGGTTTTTTTTTCATGTAGCGGCATCAGGTGAATCCTTGGTGCGGTGGTTCACAAACTGGAGGAACACGCCCCCTAGGGCTGGTGCAGAGTAACTGCAGGGGATCATGGAGGAGCCAATTTGAATTTGTTTTATTTTATTAACAGCAAAGTTGAAATCTATAATAAACAGCTGAACTTAAAATAACACTTCTTCACTCTTTGTTTATAAACGATTCAAATTGGGTCTTCCTCTACCTTTGCATCTTGGCGAAGGCGGCCATGTTGGATGCCCTGCAGAGCCTCTTCTCCATGTTTAGTCTATGTTGCTGGCGTTAGAAGCATTTGTCAAGGAAGATCACATCAGTGTCATGTTTGTCCAGGTTCCCTCTGTACTACGAGCTGAAGATAGCCTTCGTGATCTGGCTGCTGTCGCCCTACACCAGAGGAGCAAGTCTCATTTACAGGAAGTGTCTACATCCCCTGCTTTCCTCCAGGGAGAGAGTAAGAGCATCCGTGGTTCTGTGTTTGCACGCTCTGCTGCTGCTGACCTGATCAAACTGTTTCTTTATCTATGTAGGAAATAGATGAATACATCGTGCAGGCCAAAGAGAAGAGCTACGTGACCATGGTGAACTTTGGCAAGCAGGGATTGAGTATTGCTGCTACTGCCGCCGTTACTGCTGCAGTCAAAGTGAGTCAACCATTTTTTAACCACCTTATGAAACTGAACCACTGAACTCTTCTAGCCCAGTTCAGTGCAGCCGGAGTCATTATATCTGCATCAGAGCAGGATGTAGGATGTCTGATCCATCCAGAAGCTCTTCTGTCACATTTGGATCTTCTGGTGGTTTATGATCCTCATGATCCTAATATTTCCAGGCTTGACCTGAAAGTTAAGTTGAGAAAGCAGGCTGTAGCTGACTGTTAGCAGGCCGTTAGCATTCTGTTAGCTTGCCGTTAGTTGGTTGTTGGCAGGCTGTTAGCTTGCCATTAGCAGGCTGTTAGCTTG